GGTGGGGACAGGTGGGACAGGTGACTACAGGTGATGACAGGCGGCGACAGGTGACGGTAGGTGACGACAGGTGGTGACAGGTGGGGACAGGTGTGGACAGGTGATGACAGGTGGGGACAGGTGTGGACAGGTGGGGACAAGTGATAACAGGCGATGACAGGTGGGGACAGGTGTGGACAGGCGACGACAGGTGGGGACAGGTGGGGACAGGTGGCGACAGGCGGGGACAGGTGGGGACAGGTGGCGACAGGCGGGGACAGGCAGTGATAGGTGATGACAGGCGGCGACAGGTGACGACAGGTGGGGACAGGTGACGACAGGTGGGGACAGGTGGCGACAGGCGGGGACAGGTGACGACAGGTGATGACAGGCGGGGACAGGCGAAGACAGGTGGCGACAGGTGGGGACAGGTGGCGACAGGTGGCTACAGGTGGGAACAAGTGATGACAGGCAACGACAGGTGGGGACAGGCGGGGACAGGTGGCGACAGGTGGGGACAGGTGACGACAAGCGACGACAGGCGGGGATAGGTGACGACAGGTGATGACAGGTGGCAACAGGTGACGACAGGTGGGGACAGGTGACGACAGGTGATGACAGGCGGGGACAGGCGAAGACAGGTGGCGACAGGTGGGGACAGGTGGGGACAGGTGGCTACAGGTGGGGACAGGTGACGACAGGTGGCGACAGGTGGGGACAGGTGATGACAGGCGGGGACAGGCGACGACAGGTGGGGACAGGTGACGACAGGTGGCGACAGGTGGGGACAGGTGGCGACAGGGGGGACAGGTGATGACAGGCGGGGACAGGCGACGACAGGTGGGGACAGGTGACGACAGGTGGCGACAGGTGGGGACAGGTGGCGACAGGTGGTGACAGGCGGCGACAGGCGGGGACAGGCGGGGACAGGTGGCGACAGGTGGGGACAGGTGGCGACAGGTGGTGACAGGTGGCGACAGGCGGGGACAGGTGGCGACAGGTGACGACAGGTGGCAACAGGTAGGGACAGGTGTGGACAGGCGGTGACAGGTTACGACAGGTGGTGACAAGTGGGGACAGGTGACGACAGGTGGCGACAGGTGACGACAGGTGGTGACAGGCGGGGACAGGTGGCGACAGGCAGCGACAGGCGGGGACAGGCGGCGACAGGTGACGACAGGTGGCGACAGGTGGGGACAGGTGGGGACAGGCGGGGACAGGCGACGACAGGTGGCAACAGGTGGGGACAGGTGACGACAGGTGATGACAGGTGTGGACAGGTGATGACAGGTGATGACAGGCGGGGACAGGCGGTGACAGGCGGCGACAGGTTGACTTGACAGGGCGGTGACAGGCGGGGCAGGTGGGGAACCAAGGTGACTGACCCAGGTGGTGTGACAGGTGACGACAGGTGTGGACAGGTGACGACAGGTGTGGACAGGTGATGACAGGTGTGGACAGGTGACGACAGGCGGGGACAGGCGGGGACAGGCGGCGACAGGTGATGACAGGCGGTGACAGGCGGTGACAGGTGTGGACAGGCAGTGACAGGCGACGACAGGTGGTGACAGGTGGGGACAGGCGGGGACAGGTGGCGACAGGTGGGGACAGGTGATGACAAGCGACGACAGGTGGGGACAGGTGATGACAGGCGGCGACAGGTGACGACAGGTGGGGACAGGTGGTGACAGGTGGCAACAGGCAGCGACAGGCGACGACAGGTGATGACAGGTGGCGACAGGTGGCGACAGGTGACGACAGGTGATGACAGGTGGTGAAAGGTGTGGACAGGTGACGACAGGTGACGACAGGTGTGGACAGGTGACGACAGGTGTGGACAGGCGACGACAGGCGGGGACCGGCGGCGCACCTCTCGACCCAGCTCTTGTAGTTGGGGATGTCCTTGGCGTACAGCAGCTTGTTGGAGGGCGAGTCCTTGCCCAGCTTGTGCTCCGACGTGGAGCAGGAGTCCATGAAGGTCTGCGCCACCACCGACAGGCAGGCGTCGGTGATGCTGCTCTTGTGGATGTCGAACACGAACTGCGGGTTCTTGATCACGTTCACCCAGAAGCGCAGGGGCAGGCTGCGGGGCGGGCGGGCGGGGCCGGTCAGCGGGGGCCGGACCCGGCCGGCCCGGGCCTCGGTTTCCCTTTTCTAACGGCGCGGAAAGCGTCGGTGGACGGACGGGACGCAGACGCGATGGCGGGCGCGCGCGCAGCCGCCGCGCGCCGAGGAGGCCGCTAAGCGCTTATACGGTCACGGGAGCGTGTCTGCTGTTGCTGTCGCCTTTGTCACCGCAGCCAGCCCGCCCTGACACCCCGGCGGACGCCCCGCCCCGGGCCTCGGTTTCCCCTCTGAACGGCGCAGGGAAAAGGGCTGGCCGGCGGCCTCGCCACCCTCCTGACTCTGACCTCCACGGTCAGAGGCCCGGGCTGCCCTGCCCCGTCAGACACTGGCAGCCTGGGAGCATCGCTTGACAGGTGGGATGCGGGCGCGACGGCAGGCGCACACGCAGCCCCTGAGTGCCAAGGAGGCCGCTGAGGCCTCATGTCGGGGAGCACTGAGCGGGGTGTCTGCTGTGGCTCTCGCCTTTGTCACCATGACCAGCCCGCACTGACACCCCGGCGGACGCCCCACCCCGGGCCTCGGTTTCCCTTCTGAACTGTGCAGGTACAGTTCCGCTGCCAGGGAACACAGGAGCAAGAGCCGGCGCACTGGCAGCCCCGAATGCGCCACGAGGCCGCCATTTAACACAGGCGAAGAGCCGGCGCCCCGGCAACCCCAATGCACCACGAGGCTGCCATGGAATGCAGGTGCGAGGGCCGGCGCCCTGGCAGCCCCAAATGTGCCACGAGGCTGCCATGGAACGCAGGCGAAGAGCCAGTGCCCCGGCAGCCCCACATGTGCCACGAGGCTGCCACGGAACGCAGGCGCGAGGGCTGGCGCCCCGGCAGCCCCGCATGCGCCACGAGGAACATGGAGACCCAAATGTGCCACGAGGCCATCATGGAATGCAGGCGCGAGGGCCGGCGCCCTGGCAGCCCCAAATGTGTCAGAGGCGCCGACGAAACGCAGGCGCGAGGGCCAGCACCCCGGCAGCCCCGAATGCACCACGAGGCCGCCATGGAACACAGGCGCGAGGGCCGGCGCCCCGGCAGCCCCGAATGCACCACGAGGCCGCCATGGAACACAGGCGCGAGGGCCGGCGCCCCGGCAGCCCCCAATGTACCACGAGGCCGCCATGAAACGCAGGCGCAAGGGCTGGCGCCCCGGCAGCCCCCAATGCACCACGAGGCCGCCATAGAACACAGGCGCAAGAGCCGGCGCCCCGGCAGCCCCCAATGCGCCACGAGGCCGCCACGAAACGCAGGCGCGAGGGCCGGCGCCCCAAATGGGGCTGGCTGGCGGCCTCACCACCCTCCTGACTCTGGCCTCCACAGTGGATGAAGACGGAGGCCCAGCCACAGGAGAGGAACCAGAGGCGGAGGATCTCCCGCCACCCTGCCAGGCCCGGGAGCATTGCCTGAGAGACGGGACGCAAACGCGATGGCCGGCGCCCCCGCAGCCACCACGCGCCAAGGAGGCTGCTGCCCCTCTCTCTCCCTCCCCGCCGCTACACCCGCGTGAGGCCCACCCCCCGGACCCGACCGCGGGTGTGGGAGGGGGGAGGTCGCTCAGGGAAGTAGCCGGCCGACACCCGCCCACCCCGCAGCCCCCCAAGGCCGGCCCAGCCGGCGCCCCCCCCGGCCCCGGGGTCCCCGCGGGGGGTACCAGTTGCTTTTCCACGTGTGCCTCACGTCCGCGTCGTGGATCTGGTGCTTGTCGGCCTGCTCGTCCAGGAAGTCGAACATGTACTTGATGGCCAGGGGCAGGGCCGAGCCGCGGTGCGCCGTGCTGAAGATGGTCTCGAACAGGTCGTCCACGAACTTCTGCAGCGTGCCCTGCGGCCGTGGGGGGCGGGGGGTCAGGGGTCGAGAGGGGGGACCTGGGCCGGGGACAAAGGTCACCGGACAGGCCCTGGGTGGGAAAGCGTCGCTGGACGGATGGGACGCGGGCGTGATGGCAGGTGCAACTGCAGCCGCCGTGCGCCAAGGAGGCGGCCGAGGCCTCGTGAGGCCGCCCTCCCTCCTCCGCGACCCCCGACCCCTGACCCGCGACCCCTGACCCGTGACCCCCGACCCCTGACCCTGTGACCCCCACCACCGAGCGCACACCTTGGTGGCCAGCAGCCGCGTCAGGTAGATCTCAGACACCATCTTGCTGCCGCGGTCGCCCTCCCGCTGGTCCAGGTGGTCGTGGTTCTTCACCAGGTGCCAGAGCTTCGTGCCGCTCTCCAGATCCGGCGTGATCATGGGCGTGCGGGAGCGCAGGCTGTCCGGGCTGCTGGCCGTGCGCAGCATGCTCTCTGCCCCGGGGGAACGCCGCCGCCGCCTGTCAGGCTCCGCCCGGGGCCCTGCCTCGGTTTCCCCACCTGAAAACCCCCCGCCCCGCCCGCCGCTTGGCCGGGTTTCTTTGATTTTTTTTATTTTTTGAGACAGAGTTTCACTCCATTGCCTTGAGTAGAGTGCCACAGTGTCAGCCTAGTTCACAGCAACCTCAAACTCCTGGGCTCAACAATCCTTCTGCCTCAGCCTCCCAAATAGCTGGGACTACAGGCATGCGCCACCACGCCCGGCTAATTTTTTCTATATATTTTTAGTTGGCCAATTAATTTCTTTCTATTTTTAGTAGAGACGGGGTCTCGCTCTTGCTCAGGCTGGTTTCGAACTCCTGACCTCGAGCGATCCTCCCGCCTCAGCCTCCCAGAGTGCTGGGATTACAGGCGTGAGCCACCGCGCCCGGCCTGATTATTATTTTTTTATTTGTTTTGAGACAGAGTCTCGCTCTGTCGTCGCCCAGGCATCAGCCTCGCTCACGGCAGCCTCCGACTTTGAGGCTCCTCGAGTGATCCTCCCGCCTCGGCCTCCTTTATAAGGAGCTGGAACAACAGGCATGCACCACCACGCCTGCTCATTTTTTCTCTATTTTTTTTTTTTTTT